AGGCGTCCCGGGACGTTTCCCTAGTGTAGGCTTTTGCGCCCGAGTATTATGTGTGAGAATCGTGGAATGAATGTGTTGGTATGCCTGTTTTGCTATATTTTTTAAATATAGGGCTAGGTAGGATAGGTAGTATACTTCTGGTGTGTCTGTTAATTATAAGTAGGTAGGGCCGGGCAGATTGTCACAGTCTCTGATCGGGTAGGCGCGTTTTCGTGTGACAATCTGTTTCAGGGAATAAAATTTGAGAAATCGAGGGCGAAGCTGAAACGAATGGATGACAATGCCATTCGTTTCTGGCTTTGCTCGTCGATTTTTCGAATTTCGCGGTCGCGGTCGCGATTTGCTTTCGAAACGAACGTTGCGCTCGAGATTCTGTGCATGTACGGAGAACGATCATTGCGATTGTTGGTCGTCCATGTACACTTAGCTTCCGTGATTTAGTCCTTTTTTTTTCTTTTTTTCTTTGGTTTGCGATGAGTGAATCTCGAGCCTAGATTTAAGTTTCAGCGGGCATTGCGCCCGAAGGAGGAAGACCGAAGAGGCCTCGACAAACTGTCACGAAGAGGGGCTGCAACGAATGGTTTCTCATTTTTTGGTTCTTGTTTGGATCCAAAGAATGGGAAGTCATTGTTACTACTTTGTCACTGTGTCTCGTTTTAGTAACACGTAGTATATGTTGTTGTATCGTATCTGGCCAATTTGCATGCTGGCCCATCGTTCATCCAGTCATCATGGGCAAATCGCGATTTTGCATTAGTGTTGCGATTGAATAAATTACGGGTTGAATTAGAGTTGCGAAATAATTTTACGGTTTTTTTTTAATGTTACGAAAAACCAATTGCGGATTGAGTTAGTGTTGCGTTAAAATAAAAATCGCGTTTGTTATAATTAGGATTGCAAATTAAATATTGTGTTTTTTATTAAATATAAATTATTATAATTTCTACTAGAGTAATATTAAAATTAATATCATTTGTTAAATTCTTTATCTTTAATTATAATTTCTTAGTCATAAAGAAATAGTAATTTTTAAAAATTTTTTTTAAATTAATGTTGCAAATTGTTGCACCGCGATTGTTTGTGTTATTTTTCAATTAGTGTTGCGTTTGAAAATAATCGCGTTTGCTGAAGTAGTGTTGCGAATACTAAATGCCCAACTTTCCACGAAAATTGTGGAAGCTTTTGTTCCTGAATCATCTGGTGTAGCAAAAAATGCTACATGGATGACTGTACAACGATAGCAGTCATTAAGAAGAGACTGCATTGGATTACGCTATTAGTGTTGCGTCTATTGAAATTTGAGTGCATAGAGTAATATTTATTATTAGTGTTGCGTATAATTAATTGCTTTCGTGAATTTTTAATTTTTTTATATATATATATATATTTTTTTTTATTTCTTGCTATTTATAAGTTGTATTGTAAATATTGAAGCACTCATCGCGTTTGATTTTAAAAATTTTTATTTTAAAAAATAATTTATTAGTGTTACGATAAAAATGGATATTCCACTCACGGTTTGCTCGGTTTCATATTGAGTGGAAAATATTTGTATTTTAGTGGCCCCTCTGGCTGCTATTTTTCTTTTTCAGCTTACTGTTTGTTATAGAAAATACTGCTATACATTTTTCTTTAATAATATTATCAGATTTTTTAAAATATAGATTATTTTAACTTTTTAGCAATAAAATAAAATTTTATAAATGAATTTTATTTGTATAAATCAAAATTCGTGATTATTATCTGTTTTTTAATAAAAAATTTTATGAGAAAATTTTAAATTTCTCAGAGTTAAAAAATAAAATAATTTCAATCTTTTTTTTTTCATCTTAATATTAAAAAAAAAATTTTGAATCATTTTTCAAAATCTCGTAAATATTAATTGCTCGTTTTTTAAATAATCAAAAAAATTATTCATTATTTTTTAAATTTTAAAAATAATAGTTTTTTTATTTAATAAATAAAATTTGTAAATATTTATTACATATATATATATAACAATTTTTTTCAGAATTTTTTTTTAATTATTAATTATTAGCTAATAATTATTACTATTAATCCATTATATAAATTTGTTTCAGATTTATTCATAGAAATCAATTGGGTATATATTTATTATAATATTAAATTTTTTTTAATTACTTTTTAATTCGCTAAATAAATTTGTTTCAGATATATTTATTCGCAAGCATCAATTAGGTATATATATTTCATAATATTCATTTTTTTAAATTATTAATTCAATTAATAAATTTGTTTTAGATATATTTATTCAAAAAGATATATATCTATCAATATTTATTAAAGAGATAATTTTTTTATAATTTATTTAAATAATTTTTTAATCTGTTCTAGAAACTATATTGCAGAATGTGATCAATCGAAGAAGATTATATGATTATATTTTAAAGATTACTCCTTTTCTTTTTTTAATTATATTTAAATTTTTTTGGATATAGAATCTCCTAAAAAGATCTTTAAATTTTTACATATGGAACAATTTCTTGTGGTTTTGTTTATTTCTGAAATTATTGTGTAATTTATCGAATGAAATACGTATTTCATACAATATATATTCTATTATTTGCTTTCCTCGATTATATTTAGATTTTTAGTTCTTAACTCTATAAATAGAGTCTCTATACAATTTTTAATTTTTTCTATAGGTAGGTACCATTAAGTAAATAGTATCATTAACTTTCCAATAGATAAAAATTAAAAATCTAGCTCCTATATAGGTAGGAATTTGAATTCATCATCAGTTGGAAATAAGTAGAATCTCCATACAATTTTTAATTTTTTCTATAGGTAAGTACCATTAAGTAAATAGTATCATTAACTTTCCAATAGATAAAAATTAAAAATCTAGTTCCTATATAGGTAGGAATTTGAATTCATCATCAGTTGGAAATAAGTAGAATCTCCATACAATTTTTAACTTTTTCTATAGGTAGGTAAATAATATCATTAATTTTCCAATAGATAAACATTAAAAATCTAGCTCCTATATAGGTAGGAATTTGAATTCATCATCAGTTGGAAATAGGTAGAATCCCCATATAATTTTTAACAATTTTTCTATAGGTAGGTAAATAATACCATTAACTTTCTAATAGATAAACATTAAAAATCTAGCTCCTATATAGATAGGAATTTGAATTCACCATCAATTGGAAATAGCTAGAGTCCCCATACAATTTTTAACTTTTTCTATAGGTAGGTAAATAATACCATTAACTTTCCAATAGATAAACATTAAAAATCTAGTTCCTATGTAGGTAGGAATTTGAATTCATCATCAATTGGAAATAGATAGAATCCCCATACAATTTTTAACTTTTTCTATAGGTAGGTAAATAATACCATTAACTTTCCAATAGATAAACATTAAAAATCTAGCTCCTATGTAGGTAGGAATTTGAATTCATCATCAGTTGGAAAGTAGAGTCCCCATACAATTTTTAACTTTTTCTATAGGTAGGCAAATAGTGCTTTCCGATAGATAAAAATTAAAGATCCAGCTTCTATATAGGTAGGAATTTGAATTTATTATCAATTGGAAATAAGTAAAGTTGTGTAATTTTAAAATTTTTTTATAGGTAGGCAAATAGTACCATTAATTTTCCGATAAAAATTTATTAGATAAAAATTAAAAAGCTCCTATGTAAATAGGAATTTGAATTCATCAATTGGAAATAGGGTCCCCTACCTATTTAATATAAATTTTTAACTTTTTCTATAAGTAGACAAATAGTACCATTAATTTTCCAAAAGATAAGAGTTAAAAATTTAGCTTTATATAAATAGAAATTCATCAATTGGGAATTAATTATAAATATTTCATAAAATCTTACTAATTTTGTATTGTTATTTGTTTCAGAGATCAGATGGAATGAATGTGAAATTAAACACCAATCGAAGAAAACTTGTTCATTATATAATACTATTTTCCCCTCTCCTTATTTATATTAAGATTTTTATAGATATTCTCTTAAAAAATTTAAAAATTTTTATACAAAATGATACTATCTATACAAATATCTATTACAAATATTATATTCATATAATATATAATTCCCCTTTATTTCTCTAAATATTAAAATTTTTTTAGATGTACATACTTAGGTAGGCTTTAGATACTTAAGATAGGGAGGTTAAAAAATTAAATTTATAATTAGGAAGGGTAATTTTAAATTTAAGAATTGATAGATTATTTTTAAGTAAAAATTTTGAGACATAAATAGATTTTAAGGGAAGCTTAAATTACTGCTTAAAATAGAATGTATTAAGTAAATGTATGCATGTGTAATAATAGTAGTAGTAGTAGTAGTAGTAGTAGTAGTAGTAGTAGTAGTAGTAGTAGTAGTAATAGTTGTGGTGATAATATTAATTAAATATGTATAACTATGTATATGACATTTTATTTTTTTGTTTGTTTTATATTTATTTCTTTTGTAATTATTAATATTTTATATCTTTATCATTATGTACTAAGTAATAATCTGTAATATGTCTTATATAGAGTTATATCCTTAAATTTAAGATGTAATTTATTTTCAGGTTTAGTTTTTCGCGTCGGTCTTCCTTGAAAATCCTTTTGTTGTTTATTTTGCAAAATGTTAAAAAAATGAATATTTTGCAAACGTACATCAAAAGGAAGATTTATTATTGGTATTAAATAAATTTTTGCGTTAAAGGAGGGTGGATGGGATCGTGGATAGGGTGGGTCTCTATTCGCAGCCTTCCTCCACGCGGTGAGACCTGGGCAATCATCATTATTTGGTATATAATTTATAATCGGATCACAAATATCTGTAATTCAATTATAAATTACATAACAAGTAATATGAGCTAATTGGCTGCAATCGCGATTTAGATTTTATGTAATTAGAAGATTCAAATTAATATTGCCTATTCAAATATAGAATATCTCATTTACATTGTAATTAGTACATATAACAATTTAATTTTATATTATATATAGTAGTAGATTGATTTACCTGTCGAATGTAAGACTGTCTTGTCCGAAATCACATCTGTTGCAACCACTGCATCTCGATGATAAATCAGTTTCTCGATCGGTATCATCGGAACGAGTTTGATCTTTCCGATGATCGGTCACAATGCTCCACGTTCTATGGATAAGGTAGAGAAGGTAAGGTGATTTGCTTCGTCGGCAAAGTTGCGATCTCGTGTTTCCCATTTTGTCAGCTATCGATATTCTTCAACTTAAAGATTCGTATTTCAATTTTTTTTATTCAATTCTTATTCGCGACTATTAATATTATAATTTTTTCATTATCGGAAAAATTTTGACAATCTTTACACATATAAAGTGAAACATAGATGCACTAGATCATCATTTATTTTCTACTTCATTGTTTTTTAAAATTCTCTATGTTCTTACAATTTGACTCGTTCAAACGTTAAAAAAAAAAAAAATATTAACGATAACATTGCGTGCAAAATATTTTTTTGTAATTCTCTTTACTCTCAAGATTTTTCTTCTTATCGATTAGATATCTTGCTCGATACGCCCACATTCCTCGAACAATGAAGAATTTTTCTCGCACGATGTCTCGCCAACATTATCCTATTCCGGCATTGTCTTTGTCTTTGCAAATGTATTCGTATTTGTGTAATTACGGCTAACTCTCTCGAAGGGTATCTTTATAAAATAGGTGCCTATGCTTGCACTTCTTTTTCTACCGACGAAAAGATTGAAATCTTTCCAATGCGATTTTAACATATCTTCTCGTAAAGTAGATAAATTACCTTCTGACTTCAAGATCGTTTAAGCGATTTTTACGTTTTCATCCTATATTTGTACTAATCACCAGAAGTACGAGTAGGACTTGATTATGTAATATTAACGATGCACATCGACGTGCATCCACTCTCCAAGTACCCGTTGAATTTCAATTTTCATTTAATTAAGATTTCTTCCATTAAAACGAGAACCGCTCGATGCGAACACGTACAATTAAAGTCTCGTTACTGATACCGGTACACGTGTCCTTGCTGCGTTTCACGCGACATATTATCCTTGTGTCGTTAACGTGATTAGTGTCACTGTAGCCGGTGACTCGACTATTCCCACACTTGTTCGTCGTGCACTGCCATCATGTACGGCCCCTATTCGCGCACTCGAAAAGAACAAGTTCCTTCGAAACGCGTCCTGTCGCGACCATCCATTCATCTTCTTGTGTGGCACATTAGAGATCTTTCATCGTGCAAATTTTCTCGCAATATAACGGCGTCCCAATGTGAATTTCGAATGATTCACGCGCCGTGCCGCGCGAATCGAATCGACACCATCGTTTTATTGCTCCACAGCAATTTGTCGCGATAAGAATCTAATGAACGCTCGGACAAATCAATTTGTTTATGTTCGAATGATAAACGTTATGCTGGGCTGTGAAAAACAGAAATTGATTAATCGATGAATACGTGGAGTGGAATGTTCATCCGCGAATTTTTACAAAAAGCCAATCAAACGATACGGATAAAGAACCTACTGATCCACTGACACGCGAAAAATCGTCGAAACCGTTATTATGTTACGTTACGAGTTCAAAACAAGGAGAACATTTTTCTTCCGTTTAAGGCAATTTCTTGCACTCTTTCTTTCCTGAAACAGTTAGTCGTAGCACCGCGCCAGATCTGTTTTCTCTTAAATCGTTTTCCAAAACTGTAACGATTTCGCATTTCTCGCAGATATTCCTTCTTCGATCAAGCTTCAAAATAAATTCACGGTCTAACGATCACCTAGTGGTATGCTGGTCACAATGTCTACCATTACAACGAACGAACACAAACAATCTCGTTTAACCATAATATCCGCACAATTCAATCGCTCAAACGGTCTCGCATGAGATCCTCGCCGATGCGTGTCGCCGTTTTAATTACACTGGATTTCTCTCCGCGAACATGGTGCAAAATTGTGGCAATTCGATTCGAAGATCGAGTGAAACTCGACGAGCAGAGTTCAGGGACCGTTCCGATAGCTTCCTGTCCGTACGATAGATTCACATTTCACTTTCTTCGATGTCCATGTCACGCGTCACTGGTGTCGACGTTTCTACAACGCTCAATGTTTTCAACAACGTTCGATCGCATTCCTCCTTTCACGAGCCAAGCATCGACGAATTATTTAGCCGCGCGCGATAATTCATCCCTAGGTTGGAAATTCCTCGGTGTACGCGAACCCCATGGGTGTATCGAAAGGTCGATAAAAATACGTGCAGAGGAGAGGCTGGAGAGGCATTCACCGGGCGGGTTTCAACAGCCGACTGCCAACTCGTGAATGCCCCGAGGTGCACGTGTGAGCATCGCCTCTCTCCAACCAACCTCTTCTATATCCCGCCTCGCGGTCGCCACCGATGTCCAGAAGGATTCACGGATCGTGTGTGGGTCAAGCCACGACCTACGTCGCACCGGTGCACTCTAGGTCACGCCGAATACTAGCAAACGGAGGGGGGAAGAGGGTCGATTCACTGGGTCAGTTTCGATAACCCATCAACCAAACCCCTTTTACTATAATGGAACGAGCGATTTTTGAACAGAACTGTATTTAAAATTTTTTTTTTACAGAAATTCTACTTAAATCCCTCTAAATAGGAATTTTGGATAGTTTAGATAGCGTTTAAACACTACGTTTCGGTAATGTTCGTTATATTTTTTTTAAACTGAAGTAATTAATGCGAAACCTTGAATATGCCGATAAAGAATATCTCGACTCGATTTACATTAGAATAAGTTTTAAAAATTTTCATAATAAATTTTCACAACAACGATACATGTCAAATGTCATATTTTTCGAATTGTATATCTTCGATAATTTTGAAAGATCGAATCTAAGAAACCTTGAAATTATTATTCCTTGAGAAAAATGTTAAGAGCTAATGTTGATTTTACGCAACTTTTACGCATTACTTCATCGCATAATCTTGAATGGGTTAATAGACCAGATCGTGGGATCTTTTAAAATTACTCGGTAGAAACTTCTCTGGATCTTGATAAAGATCGATACGCGTGTTAAGATCGAGATAAACGATAAGATAAATTATCGGTTGATTTTGACCGTGACGCGAGTCAGGACGACCAACTAATAATTTTCATTCCACGAAAAGGAATAAGATAAATGAGAAAGATGAAACACGGATCTCGTAACTCGTTTGCTCGTTGCATTCTGAGAGAAAGTAAATTGTTGTTCGTAAATTTGCCGAATGATTGGTAAAGGATGCCGCGTTCATATATATTTAGTTTCCTCGATTTACAGGCATCGTCTTGATTGGCCGGCGCATCGAGGTAAAAGGTGAAATACCAAGCCAACTCTTCTTCTTCTTCTTCTTCTTCTTCTTCTTCGAGCAACGCTAATAAGACGGCTCGCAAAATAGATACTTCCTTCGCGCGTAATTCGCATCCTGCGAGCAAGTCGGATGGATTCGGTTCGGTTTTAACACAAGAGAGAGATTATTCCACGATCTTTGTGGCGAATTTAACGAAAAAGTTGCGAGACGCGTTTATTAGCTTCGAAGATAGAAAGATGAAATCCGTTAGACCAGTTGTTTGATTTTACTATAATTCTTCAACGAAAGGTAATCAAATACCGGTACGAAATAGAATTCTGCAAGAAGCATGATTTTCTTGACTGAAAATGCGACTGCGCTGTAACAAGCACGCGAGAAGACCTCTTTGATCAACGAAGCAGGAAAACCTCGAAGAAAAACGTTATTTTCACTGAGAGATTTATTATTTGTAGCAACCGTCTCATTCGTCAGCATTTTTCGCGATGTCAGACGCGAATAAACGCGATAAAATACATAATTTAATTCGAGACGAGTGTTTCTTCTCTTTTATATTGTAAATTTGAATAACTTCATCTTTCATCGTTCATCTTGAAACGTACGGTTTGATTTTAATCGAGACTTTTCAATCTCGCCATCGATAATATAATCCCCCATTCGTTGCAGTAAGGAACGAAGAATAACAAGAAACCGATAATTTACGATAATTGCACTGCCGTATTACGTAATTAGAGATTATAAAAAGTTATCGAAATATGAAGCAATGGATGAGGTTATTGACTATGGTCGCGGATCGAGTTTTGTATTTGACGAGTATTAATAGCCAATGCGTGTGTATCTCGTAGCGGGATTAACAGGTTTCGAGTTTTATTATATTGGAATACGGTAAAACGCTAACGTGGAAAAATTAATTTAGGAAGATAATATTATCTTCGGATCGAATAGATGAAATGGGAAGAACATTGCGCGTCTTGTTGGTCAAAATGGATTAGTCCGTTCGGTACACACGATAAGTGATTGCACTCGTATATCATTCGGTGAAAAGAAACCGTAGCCGCTTCCGGCTTCTTGTGCAATGTCGGGAACAAGAAAACGTTATGAATGTACTAATGAGATGAATCTCGCAATTATTATATCGTATATAGCGATACGATTCATAAAGTTACCAAATAGTAAATGCTCGTTTTCTTTCTTTCGTACCTTATCATCCATCGTTTTTCCAACAATTATTCCAAATCTGATCCTAATTATAGATTAAAGCGGTCGGATTTTTCAACTCTGTTACATTGGTAACAAGGTGGAACCGGAGCTCCTGTTTATTTATATGATCTACTTAAGAATAATTTATAAATTTCAAATAGTTTCGTTCCTTCCTACTTCGATTGTATACAATGCACTATCAGATTTACGCGCTCTTACTTACTACGTGCTATTTTTACGACACAATTTATCTCGGTTCATCTTTATTTTCGTTTCTCGGTTTGCTTCGGAAATTTATCGAAGCGCAACACTCAAGGCAAAACTTCATTTTCATCCCGTAACCATAATCGTAACCTTTGCGTATTTTCGTATCGTGAATGAAAGCTCGTTCCTTTCACGCGAGGCAGTGACCTTTCTCGATGCGGGGACTCGTCGTCTCCGTAGGAAGCGTAAAACATGGCTGCTGTTTAATCCATGGATCAGGATGGATCCAACGTGTACGGCGATTCTTCTGGGTCAGATTCACGCTTGACCTGGGCTGAACGGATACTTGTAACCATGTATCAAGCGGCAAGAACATCGCCTCCTTCCGGATGCTTGCGCAATGTAGGGAACAAGGAAGCGGAGAAAGAAATGATAATTATTACACGGTAGTAGCGGATCGTGGTCGAGCGAGAAAATCATTCGAGCCGAAATTAAATCGAAGCTTTTGCTTTCGAATCGTCGGGTGTACGTGTTAGCTTCTGTGTTAAAATGATGGAGGAAAGGGAAGGGAGAAGGGGTCATCGTTGTTTTGCAACGTTCTCAGATGGGATCGATAGCCTTTCACGTCGATCGCTTCGCGCCACGATCGATTATAAACGTTTCGCCGTGGTTCATTTGTGTGGAGTCTACGCGAGTTTCTTCTCCACGATTTAGCTTGAACGTTTTCAAAATTATCACGTGATGAATATCGTGAATAAGAATCCAAAGATTACAAGGTTTTATACCGGAAGCATAGTGAATCGGCACCATAAAAAGATATTGTTCGAAAATTACAGTGAAACGGGGAAAGACTTAGCTGAATGGGCGTTCCTGGCGAGCTTACGTAAAATGAAGATACGATTCCGCTTGAAGAGCGTATGCGCAAAAAAGGATACGTAAAGCGTACTATAATATCTATAATACCCGTGTGATCGTGGTTTGGCGCAGCGTATACGTATGTAGACAGCATATGGGGAGATCGTGGTTGAGAATTACGTAAGCTTCCATGAGAGAAAGAGCTGTCCGCTAGAAAGCATGTCAATGTAGCAATCAAACTGTTTTTATATAGTTTTCTAATATCTTGTCTTGTTCCATGTAATTCATTTTCCGTCACGCTTCGATTAACCAAGTCGGTATAAAATGTGATTTTCGTTCGATAAAATGTCGATACGAGGTATAAAATTATTCGAAAAACCGATCGGAAATATAAATTTTCCACCTTTGTTGTTCGACCTAGATTTTCTTTTTACCAGAATGTCGGAAGAAAAGAGAACGCGGTGAATGCGTTGCCCTTCGCCGAAGGCAGCGAATTAAACGGAGAGTTAAAAAGTTGACGGAGCAGGATCACCGTTAAGTGGAACAACAACAAGGTGTCGCCCAGTAAATCGTTTTGCCGACTAACCTATAAATTTCGCATACATTTATTCCAATTTTCATAAATGAACGGTATCACTTTGTCGTTTATCGACGTATGTCCGTCATTATAAAGATATGTATCATAAAGATATTAATAATTCGAATATCCAAGTATTTTAAACTTTCGTAAAGATATTAAATAAACTTTAATACTCTTTAATAGATACATGAATCACATCATGATTTTCTTAATATTTTTATGGCATTTTTTTTTTTTTTTTTTTTATTATAACTAGTGAGCATTAATTATTATTCAAAAATACGTAAATGTATTATCGAAAGACGTAAATAAAGTAATTAGAGAGGACTCATTACTCAAAAAAGAGACACGTGAATTTTCATATTTTAAAAAAAAAACTTTTCACGTCAATTCTTTTAACCTTCGTAAAATTTTAAGATCTAGATAAAAAAAAAAAATAAGGAAGAAAAAAATTAGTAGGTTAACTGTTTTACATTGAAACTATATAATCATATAGTATTAAGAAATATAAAGATAATTAATGTATAATTAAAACATTAGACACGAATTTAAACATATCGAATGTTCGATCTCCGATATCTTTCCTCGAATGTCGAAGTTCAAGTTAAGAAGAATACAGTAGCAAGAGATCGAATAACGCTCGAATAACGTAGTGATTGAAGATGGTATCGCTAGAGAGAGGTGATAAAACACGTTTTCCCAATAAGTACCGACAGACGCAATTACGGTTATCTACAGTTAAGGTCAGAGAAAAAAGGAGTTCGGGTCTCGACGGTCTAGTTTGCTATGTTAGATCGGTGCACGAATGTATCTCTGAATTCGTTCGCTTAGAAAGACTTATCTGTTGTATACGGCATTAATGGTCGAGCCTACGCCCATCCTAGACGGTATTATATACCGTTATATTATTTATAACGAGGAAACATATTTTGCCTACGCTTATGCGCCTTCCCATCCTCTATAGCTACATTTTTCACGCTTCCTTCGTTTGCTATAACGATACGATCATGTTTTCATTTGAGTGTTAATTAGAGCTGGGATTCAGTTGATTCGAAATTATTATAACGCAAAATAAATGGTTGTACCGATTAATTTATCAAGTTGTAACTCGTTAAATATTTTTCAATACTCCCGCTGCTTAATTGTAGAAATTCATTTTATCGACATCCATCAAAATGCTTTTTTGTATATGCTTCATTTTAATAAGTTTTCGGACCAATTTTCTTATTATTATTCTTATTTTGCAATTAAAAAAGAAAATTAAACCTTATGAGCTAAGATTTTCTGTTCTTTTATCAAAGATTCTTTACGTTATGTTTTTCTGTTTCTGTAATTATATAGATCGTATTTCCGTTTTCAATCTTCTAATTTCTTCATCTTGTTCGTTCAATTTTTTATTATTTATTTTTTATTATAATCATTATGATTGAACTTGTTTATTATATCAATTAAACTTTGTATTAAAGTTTGCAATGGTATGCACGAATAAAAAGGAAATTCGAATCGAATACCATAGATAATTTTTTACTTTGTAACTTCGTTACTGATTGGAATTAAGTTCGATAGTTCATAACGTTTGCCGTAAGATGGCTCTAATCGCGTTCAGAGAGTATGTGTGGGTATTTCAGCTGATGGCTTGTATGTAGTCAAGATGGCTTCCGCGGAACAAGTCGGTCTGAACAAAACTTGGGAATTATCACTTTACGAACTTCATCGTACTCCTCAGGATGCAATTACTGACAATACAGAGATTGCGGTCAGTCCTCGAAGTTTACACAGTGAACTTATGTGTCCGATTTGTTTGGATATGCTTAAAAAAACTATGACTACCAAAGAGTGCTTACATCGGTTCTGTTCCGATTGTATCATTACAGCACTTAGAAGCGGTAATAAGGTATGTGCTTCTTCTGAAATTATTCTGATAATAATTAGTTATTATGTACTTTCATGGCATAGTGTTTCTAAAAGTTTCTTAATCCATTAAAAATCAGTTGCTGACACTTGGTCAGTATCCTGTCATTGTTTCTTTTTTCATTTTACTATATATCGTACTTTTACGTAAACACAACTTTGTATTTTTGCATATAGATATCGATAGTAATTTTAAGAGTCAAAGATTAAAGTAATTTCTTGTAAAAGAAGAAAATTCGATTGTAGTTATATTTGGTTCTGTCAGATACTGTAATTTTAGCGCGCTTTTTGAAATGCGTTGTAAATGATGTTCTATGTTGCTTCGTGATGTTTTTTTTTATCATTTCTACAATCTGAGTTGAAGAAGTTGAATATTATAATAATTATCGATGGATTTAGATTTATTTTTTATCCAATATTGGAATAATTTGTATTCTTTGACTATGTGAGTGTTGATAAATTATGATTTTAAAATATTTAATGAACATATATTTGTTCATATGTTTTATCTTTAGATGTGAACTTTTTTGCGGTAGTGATTTGGATTTTATCATGGATTTTATAATTGCCATTGAATTCAAGTACGAATAGAGGTTAGAATAATTTTGAAAAATATGTAAATCATTAAAAATTCTGTTCGTAGGAATGCCCAACATGCAGAAAAAAATTGGTCTCTAAAAGGTCTTTAAGACCAGATCCTAATTTTGATCTATTGATTTCTAAGATATATCCTAGCCGTGATGAATATGAGGCTCATCAAGAAAGAGTATTGGCAAAATTGAACAAATCACATTCACAGGCTGCATTGGTAAATTCTATTACAGAGGGAATCAAATTACAAAGTCAAAATCGTTCTCAGAGATCCAGAAAAAATGCCAATGAATCAGAGAATGCTAGTAACGCAACATCTTACAATAATTCTCAAAATGCCAGTGCACCGGCTACACCAAATGCTACGAATGCTGCGAATCAAAGCGATTCTTCTCAAAGTACAACAGGACCTTTAAATAATAGCAGTGGAGGTTACTTAAAAAATTTTATTGATATTTTATTAACTTTATTGTTCCTGTTAATGAATAAATTTAACAGATGGATTTTATACGAGTAAAATAATCAATTTCAGGTACAACTTCTAGGAATTCTACTACACCATCGCCAAATCCTGCAAATCAAATTCCAAAACCACCAAAACGACAGAAAAGTTTACAAAATTCTGAAAATGATTCGTCTAGTGCAGAAGCTGAAACCGGTGGTGGTGATTCTATGGTAGATACAGAGGGTGAAGGTCCTAGTGAGCCTTTAATGTTAAACGAGATTGAACTTGTTTTTAAACCACATCCCACGGAGATGGCCGGGGATAATTCACTTATAAAAGCGTTGAAAGAAAATAGTATTCGATATATCAAAACAACAGCTAACGCGACAGGTGAATGTTTTATATAATTGCAAATTTAAGCGGAATATTCAAAGTGAACGATAATAATTGTTAATTTTTGTAGTTGATCATCTGAGCAAGTACCTGGCTATGCGGCTAACATTGGATTTGGATACAGAATTATCGGAATCGGACAGGCTACTTAATTTTTGTATTTATATAGCACCTTCTCCTGGTCAATTAGTAGTTTTAAGTGGATCTCAAACTTTAAGACAAGTCAATGATAAATTCTGGCGCGTAAATCGACCCCTGGAAATGTATTATTCCTGGAAAAAGACCTAGGGAAGGCCTCGGAAGTACCAGTCTGATGGGAGCTAGTCGCGTTAAGCTCCAAAAAATATATAAAAAAATATAAAAAAATTTTTATTATGTGGAGTACAGAAACGCGCATTGTTATATCAAGATAGACCGATATATTTTACTGTACTTCAATACCCTTGGATTATGTTCAAGGATCGAGAAAGATAGAAAAGAGGAAGTTCCTCTCGTACTAGTGGACAGTGGTGCAATTTTTCTCTTCATGGGAGTGGTTGCTCGTTTGTTTTCTCTGAAGAGGGCAGTAGAAGAACGAATAGATTTTTAATTGAAGCTTTGTACAGCGATTTATTCTAAATGCAACAGAGTTCAATCTCGGATACAAACTGCCATTCACCAGATTGTATTGGATCATGAATAGATCAAGGGATTTTTGTGTCTACAAACCGTGAACAACAACATATAATATTATCAGATTATATCCTTTTTTCACAGGTGTAAGTTAATCCGGTGCGCCCAGTTACGATATTTCAAGTTTATGGCCTCGATGGTTAAATAACTTATTCAAAATAAGTCTTCGATTCCTTGTGGACCATTCTGTACAGATTCACAAAAAAAAAGAAAAAAAAATCAAATAAATGTATATATACTATACTTTTTTGTTAAAAAGAGTATTTGTATAATAGAAGAAGAAAAATTCCCTTATAAACTCGAAAATTTTCCTTTCTTATCTTTTTAATGTTCGAACGTCATTGATTTTTCCTTATTTTTTTCAAAGTATTTTTTGATCACAAAAATCTAATTTTCGATCACGTTAAATGTACATGAAAAGCGTCTTTGGCTTAGTAGACGGAATAATCGATAAGTGCCGACCCCATCCTGCGCCCTCTTGCATTTTCACTGAACCGAAAACAATGCGAACACTCCAAGTCGGGTAATGCCACCCTCTTTACTAAACGGGAAACCACGTCGTTCGTTGGCCTTATGATATCGAATTCCATTCTTTTTGTATTAACTATAATTCCATCATTAGTCGTTTGACATTTTCAATCTCTTTTCCTTTTCATCGAACGAAAACATAAATAATATTTAATTTTTGAAAAAAATAGACTTATTCCATTTTTTTTGACGGATATTTACAAGATCGACTAATGAATATTTATTGGCATTGTAATGTTGCATAAGAAAACGTGTTAGAATCAGAAAAGATCAGAATAAGCGGAAACGAAGTACATAGAATATCCGGTAATTCGTCACCTAATACAAGTTTCTCGTCTTTTCCAAGATCTTTTCATCATTAATTAATGAATTCATGACAGAATTATATCCATTGTAATTTTGTATATAATTACAGGATGCGCAACCGAATAATAACGAAGGCTTCTAATTAACGTAAATGAATCAAGATGAATTCTCCAAATCGCGATATATGCCTCGTAATAAATAGAATGGTTAATAGAATGAAATACTAATTAACAGTCTATTTCTGCGCAGAAAAATCTGAATACTCGTAACGAGGAACAACATTACAAAACCTCTTCTGATCGAATCAACCGAAAGTTCTATTTTATATCCTAATTGCATTTCTTAATAAGTATACAGGAAATTCTATTTCTGCAATTAATATTTAATCGTTTATTTTTCAGATGTTCATAAAACCGCTTCAGTGCTGATGCGGCAAAGTTGGTTTATTCGGTTTCTCATTCAAAGAAATTTCACTGCTTTCCTTCGAATCTGTGTCCTTCGCCTCGGTAAGAGAAGACGATTTATTCGACAACAAGTGCATCGACGATTTTTCTCTTTTCAGTATATCGTTCATGTCGTCGTCATTTTCACCATACTCCATTTGCTCGTCTTCGCTCCATTCTTCCAACGAACTTTTCTCCGGAGATTCATCCTCGAAGATATTTCTCGCTTTTCCTTCCATGTTATCAAGTTTCTCTTTTAAAAGTTTGTAAATCTCGTCCGAAGCGAATCTAAAAATTCATCAGTCCATTAGAGGGATTAGGGGATCCTACAGGGATTTCTCGTTCAATCCTATTATTTGTTATCTGGCCGGATGGATGTCCGCGTTATTCATTCTTAATGGAGAAATTCTCTCATTACCGCGCTCTCCACAGTCTATCCCATTTTCCAGTAACGCGTGCAATCCCTCTGGTAACGGGAATAGATCGAATGACGTAACCAAGTGAAGGAATACTAACGGTATTTTATAAGGTTCCTTGTACCAGAGCGGGAATCCCGTGGGATTGTATCTCCCGTCTGGAATCGAATTCTCGGTTGGCAGAGAATGCAGTTTGAAATGCGCCGGTTCGACCGTCTCCTCCAATAAGGCTGACACTTGTCGCGCGTAGTCCTCCGTACCAGCTGTTCGTTCCAGTCTGGGAATTAATTGGAATACGATTTTCTTATGCTTCCCTTTATCCGACATACACAACTGTTCATCGGTATCCAGACACTTTGTTCGATTCGAAGAAAAAGTAATATATATTTGTTTATCGTAGTGTAATATTTTTATATTCGATCATTGTACTGGAAACAAGTGTT